CGTGAGTCTCAGCCGTGCCTGTCACCTCTGTGAGGCCCCTCAGCCTACTGTCCCTGTTGGCCTGTCAGCCACAGGATGCTGGGCGCTGGCCCGGTTTGTCACTGCAGCTGGGCAGTATCTGCCTCCTGGGGCCGGGCCATCAGCACCACCAGGCCATTCTGGCCCGGTCCCTCTGTCATCCTGTCCAGCTGGAGTCTTGTTTGGCTGCTGAGATGGGGGTAGGGAAACCACTGACCAACTTCTGAAAGTTGGCTTCACATGGAAAACGCAGTTACTCACCAGGCCACCTTTCCCACAGTGCGGGTTTAGTGCCCACGCAATTCCTGGTGGTGGCTCGTGAAGGGCTTGTGGCCACAGGCCCCATAGGCACGTTTCTGTGTTGTAGGCGCCGATTTCCAGCCTCTGGACTCAGCTGGCCCGTGCGGTCGGCAGGCAGATTCCAGACCAGCTGGGAGCATTGAGTTCAGAACCAAGCACCAGTGCTGACTCTGGTCCAGTCATGTCCTGAGCCATGGGCTAGGCCTTTGGGGAGCAGGGAAATGGGGTTTTGACCAGTTCCAGGTGGGCAGGTGGATGGGAGGGGGCTCTGGGGGGACGTGTCCTGAAGAAGGAGCCTGGCCTGGGATCCACTGACAGGAGCACGACTAAGGTTTATTTTCTGCTGATCAATTCCTGGTCTTGTTTCCAGGAAAGGGGTCTGGGGAGATTCAGTGGGAATGTACTTGGGGAAATTAAAAAATAATCCCCAATCTCATCAAGTCTCTGGGCAGGAATCAGGAAAACCACATCCAGAAGAAACAGACAACTTGGTAGCCTCTAGAGAAGCTCCTGGTGGAGGAAGCCTCAGTGTAGGCTACAGGGAAACCTTCTTAGCTACATGCAAATCCCCCACATTAGTTGTTTAAAGTGCGAAAAATCCATAATACAAGATGTATTATTTTAACCATTTTTAAGCATGCAATTGAGTGGCGTCAAGTACATTCACATTGTTGTGTAATTACCACCCCTATTTCCTGAACTTCCTCATCATCCCAAAAGGAAGGACCATACCCGTTAAGTAATAACTCCCCATTCCCTCCTCCCCTCAGCCCCAGGAACCCTTAATCTAGCTCCTGCTTTTATGAATTTGTCTATTTTAGATATAAGTGGGACTGTGTAATACTTGTCCATTTGTATCTGACTTCTTTCACTGAGCAGAACCACTGCTCACTGAGGATAAACCCAGAGTTTATCCAGGTTGTAGTAGCAATAGGACTTTCCTTTTTATGGCCAAATAATGTTTCATTGTGTGGAGGGATCACATTTGGTTTACTCATTCATCTGTTCATGAGTATCTGGGTTCTTTCAGAAATAATTTGTAAGTATAGAGACAGGTAAGGATAACTGTGATCTCCTTGGGGAAAAGTTAGGCCTGAATGATAAAATCCCCTCTGATGACGCTCTTGCCCTGGACCTTCCTCTCTCCATGGGAGACCTGACAGTTCCTGCTCTTCCACGACTTAAGTACTATTTTTTAAGTTTAATTTTTATTTTATATTGGAGTGTAGTTGATTTACAATGTTGTGTTAGTCTCAGGTATACAGTTGTCAGTTATACCTACATATACCCATTCTTTTCCATGTTCTTTTCCCATATAGGTTATTACAGAATTTTGAGTAGAGTTCCCTCTCCTATACAGTCGGTCCTTATTGTTTATCTATTTTACATATAGCAGTGTGTATATGTTAATCCCAAACTCTTCAAATTTATCCCCCCTACTGTGTTTCCCCTTTGGTTACCATGAGTTTGTTTTCAAAGTCTGTAAGTCTGTTTCTTCAAATAGTCTTTGTAAATAAGTTGTGACTTAATTTAAATAAGTTCAGTTGTATTTTTTAAGTGATACCATATGATATTTGTCTTTCTCTGTCTTGGTATGATAATCTCTAGGTCCATTCATGTTGCTGCAAATGGCATTATCTCACTCTTTTTATGGCTGAGTAGTATTCCACTGTATATATGTACCACATCTTCTTTATCCATTTCTCTGTTGATGGACATTTAGGTTGCTTCCATGTCTTGGCTATTGTGAATAGTGCTGCAGTGAACATTGGGGTGCCTGTATCTTTTTGAATTGTGGTTTTCTCTGGACATACGCCCAGGAGTGAGATTGCTAGATCATATGGTAGCTCTATTTTTAGATTTTAAGGAACCTTTATAATTTTCTCCATAGTGGTTAAATTTCTGTTTTAATTAACAAGTGTGGTAGGACCCCAAGCCATGGGGTGGTGGGGCAGAAATGGCTTTGGACTTGGAATTAGGAACCCTCAAGGCCCGGCATGGCCTTTAGCAGCTGACGTCCCCCTGTCAGGCCCCTGTGTCCTCCTCTGCAAAAGATTAGAACCTGTGTTACTGAACAGCCAGTATTCCCCCCACCTGATACTTGGCAAGTTGGCAGGTGGGGAAGTTCTTCTGCTGAGAATCTGTCCCCACTGTGCTCATATAAAATTTATTGTGTGAATAGATGATACATGTGTGCAGCAAAAAAAAAAAAAAAGAAACACACAAAAGGGCATTTCAGCAATCTTTGTTCCTCCTATCTGATAGCAACCCCCCAAGCTTGGTTAAGGCTTGTATGCCTCCCGGAGAGTGGAATATCTGCTGCAGGCTGGGTCCCAGGCCGCTGCTTTCCCCAGTTGTAACACTGTATCTTAGGGATTGTTCCATGTTGATACACAGAGAATCGCTTGGGTCTTTAACTGCTTTGAAGCCTCCACTGCAGGATACACTGTGATTTCTTTAAGGGCTCCTAACTTGGCCAGAACAGTTAGTTTTTTCCCAATCTTGCTGCTCACAATTCTTGGAAGCATACCTTGTGCTCCTTTGCAGGGAGAGTTCTCGCTCTGTTCTGGAGCCAGACTGGAAGGTGGGAAGTGCTGTGAGCCAGGTCTCTGAAGCCGTGGTAGGTCTGGGGGCCTGCTCGCCCAGGGCTCTCCTCCCCTTATCTTCATTTTCTGAGTCCTCCTGCTTCTCTCTCAGGCTTTGCTCTTGGGACAGAGTCTAGAACCTTGTACCCCAGGCCTTAGATGGACTCAGCTTAAGGGATTGATTTTTAAACTTTTTGTTGTTTTCGCATTTAAACCCTTTATGCAGACAAGGCCCTGTTTCCCAGGTCCTGAGAGGGGCCCTTGGCGGCCCCTGGTCATGCTGAGGGCAGGCCAGGCAGAGGACAGGGCTCGGGGAGCCCTGACCCTGATGCTGAGTCTGTTCTGCCCATTTCTCTGGGCAAGCCCCACTCCCTCTGCCCCCTTCTCTCCACCCCATACCCCAGGAAAGAAGGATGATGGAAGGTCACCTGGGGGCTGTTGGTGACCCCTCAGGGGTGTATGTCACTTCACATCACTTTTACGTGGCCTTGTCTGAAATCTTCACAGTTTTGCAGCTGAGCCCCCACCCCAGCTCACGGATGTCCCCTGAGGCTTGGAGAGGCCGGTGGCCTTCTGGGCAGAAGGCTGGCACCCAGGGGAGCTGCTGTGGGCTGTCCTTCAGTTTTCTCTGTTGATGCTGGTGCTGCTCAGAGACGCTGGCCACCTCCTTGCTAAGGGACGGCTCTGGTGGCCAGGTTCCAGCCATCTCTAGAGGCTGGGAATAGGTAGCACTTACAGGCAGGCCTGGCACTCTCAGTTAGCTCAGCACCATGTCCCCAAACTCCTTGGGGTTCTGACCTGGGGAGGAACCCTGAGGCTAAAGTCTCAAGGGGTCCAGAAAGAGTCCAGGGTCAGACATGACTCTAGGAAGGAGCAAGCAGAGAGGCAGGGAGAAATGCGATCAGCACTGAAATCCTAGATTTCATGCAAGTCCACTGAAAGTTTCTGACTTGAAGAGTGGGAGAGTCTGGGCCTGTGTTGGAGCTGGTCAGGCAGCACCGGCTTCCTCAGGTGGCCTCAGGCCCTGAGTCCTGCCACCTCGTGGGCTCTGCCTCGCACACTGGGTGGCTATTTTTTTCTCCTTTCCCAGCCTAACTCAAGGTGGAGAAGGCCAAACTGGGGTGGCCAAGTGAAGTGCCTATGCAGTCTGTATTCAGACCCTGGCCTATTGACCCAAGGGCAGTTCTCATTTCCTTCTTACGGCAGGGCCCGTGGTGGTGCTGGTGGCGGCAGGCAGAGGCGCCGGTGGAAGCGGCCCCCAGTCCTCGTTGGACCTCACGGGGCCTCCCACCCGAGCCCCAGCCCGGCTGCGGCCCTGCGGGCGGGGCCTCCGAGCCACTCCACGGTTTCCAGGGGGCGCTGCGGGCTGGGGGAGCAAGGTTTCAGCTGCTCCTGCCACCCGGGGCGCACTTGCGAGTGGGTGCTGTCCGAGAAGCCTGGGGCTGGGGTCCCTTTACGGAGCGCTCCGGGCAGCGACGGCCAGGGAGGAAGCTGCCCCCGCCCGCACCCACGCGACTCGGAGCGGCCCCGCCAATGCTGGCAAGGCTGTGGGGGGTCTTCTAGGGAAGTGCGCCGAGCGGGGGTCTCCGACCCCCACTGGCCACCCCGTACCGTGAGGGCCAGTGCGGGGCGCGGGCCGCGTGGAGCCGCAGAGTGGGTGCCGGGGCGCGCCGGGCCGTCGGGGAGGCGCGGGGGCGGGCACGCAGGGAGGGCGGGGGCCGAGCTTATAAAGGCCCACGGGCTGGCCGAGGGAGGAGGGAGCCGCCGAGCCGCGTCCCGCCCTGCTCGGCCTCCGCGAGCTGCCGAGAGAGTCAAGAGCCGCGCGCAGCGCTCCGCCGCGGGGCAGGGCTGACACCGGAGCGAGCGCGGACCCCGGCCGTCCGCACCGGCGGGGCGCTGCGGACCCCGGCCCTGGGAGGAGGAGCAGGAGGAAGCGGAGGCGCTCAGGTCCCTGCTGACCAGCCGGGGTCCTGGCCGCGGCGCGCGGCACGTGCGGCGACCCGCCCTGTGCGCCATGCGCCGGCCAGGGCTCCCCCGCACCGCCCCTTAGCGCCGCGCCGGCCGACCGACCCTGGCCGGCCCCGGGGCCCCTCGGGTATGGAGCCGCACGTGCTCGGCGCCGTCCTGTACTGGCTGCTGCTGCCCTTCGCTCTTCTGGCCGGTGAGTGGGGGCGTGCGCGGCGGGCTCTGGTCTGGGACGGGGTCTGCGTCGCCGCTCCCGGCATTCCGGCCGGGCCACCCGGCGAGAATGGTCGGGCCGAGGATGGTGCGCGGGCGGGCGCGGAGATTCCCCGGGACGCGCGGCCCTGGGCGCCCGCATTCCAGAAGCATGAGAGCGCCGGGCCCGCCGGGAAGGCCGGGGCCCCGTCCGAGCGCCAGGCTGGGAGGGCGGCGGCGGGGTGGCGGGCAGATGGCACTCTGGCGCCCACGAAGGCCGGCGGCGAGCGCCCCCCGGAGAGGGCGGCGGGTGCCTCGGCCCGCGGCGCTGGGGGTAGGGACACAGGGGCAGGGAGGAGGAATGTCGGCCCCCATGGGAGGGGCTGGGGCGTCGGTGAGTGGGGCACGAATCTCTTTTTCTCTTTCGTGTTAAAAAAAAAAAAAGCGCAAACTTGCATCACGACTTCCTGACCAATCTGGGAGAAGGCGGGCTTCCTGCCTGGAGCTGTTTAATCTGGAGCCTCTGGAGCAGAACTAACGTCGTTGTGCCCTGGGCTCGGCCCCCCTCTCTCTTCCCCTTCCCGTCCCCACCCCCGGCCGGACTAGGGCAGGCCCTTGCTCTGGAAAAAATAGTTCGGGTTCCTCCCTGCCTTCCCGGTGCCCTGGCTCCTCCGCTGGGCTCTAGAGCTGCGGGAGGGGCCGGGGGTGGCTCTGAATTGGGCTGGGGGAGAGGGTGACCCCAGAAGACTCTGGTCTTGGTGCCAGAGCTGAGGTCTCCACCGGGGCATCAGTGTCCCGGCTTGTGCTGTCATCTGCACCCCTTCCGGAAACCTCTATCTGTGGTTCTTGTTGCTCAAGGCCCCTCCCCTCTGCACCCCTCCTAGCCTCCCTGTGCCCAGGGCACAGTGCCGGAGCCTCCTTTCACCCTTCACAAGCCAGCCCTCCGTCCCCAGCTCCCTCCTCTGGGGCTGCCTCTACTGGATGTGAGCTGAAAAGTGGTCTGATTAATTCAGAGAAACAGGGAATGGTTTGCACTGTGAGTCTCTGTTGGGTGGAAATCCGTCAGACCGTGGTGGGTGTTGGTGGTTTTACTCTGAAAGCCTTTGCACAGCCTCTTAAATCTCTCCAGGTGGACTCTGCCGCTTCTGTCATAGGTGGGCGTGGGCTCCAGTGGGCCAGGAATGTGGGGGCCCGGAGCAGCCAGCACCAGCTCCCACACAAACTGTTTTGATTTGTAGCAGAGAAAGGTGGTGAAACTTGGGAAAAATTTCAGGACAGGAATCAATGAAAACCATTGAGGTCAGGGAGGAGGGTCTGAGTCAGCCTTGTGTGGACAGAACAGCCCAGGATGTGCTGGGAAGAGCGCAGGGTCAGCCGGCCTGTCTTTCTCCTCTCGCCTCTGGAAAACACACATTAACAGGCCAGCAGAAGAGACCCAGCTGGAGGTTGGGCTCAGAAGCCGGTAACCTTCTCACTGCAGGCTCGCCTCTGACGGCCCCACAGCACACCTGCAGCCTCCTTATCCTCTGAAGACATGAGGGGAATCGGGTTGGCTTGTGTGGGAGGGGCCTCCCTCCTGAAGGGCATGCCTCCCCCCATGGTGCAGTCTCCTTGTTCAGGGTCGGGAGACATTTCTCTGACGAGCTGGATAGTAAATATTTTCACATCATCAACTCTTCTGATATTTTTTCCAGCCATTAAAAAATGTAAACACCACTCCTAGCTTGTGGGCTGCAGCAAAACAAGTGGAGCCAGGCTCAGACCAGGAGCTGGAGTTTGTTGACCCGAGAATTAATCTGTGTTCTTCGGGCCCTTGGCTGCAACTCAAGTGGGTGATGAAGTTGGGGGGAGGGTAGGTCTCTAGTTCTCCAGATGCCGGGTGGAGCTACTCAGGGTTCCCACCTGGGCTGTATTGGTATCTCCTGGGAGCTTTTCACATCCTGATGACTAATTTTTTGTGTGCTTGGCTCAGTTTTTCTGTAAACCTGAAACTGTCCCCCAAAATAAAGTCTTCCGTCCTGTACTGGCTGCTGCTGCCCTTCGCTCTTCTGGCCGGTGAGTGGGGGCGTGCGCGGCGGGCTCTGGTCTGGGACGGGGTCTGCGTCGCCGCTCCCGGCATTCCGGCCGGGCCACCCGGCGAGAATGGTCGGGCCGAGGATGGTGCGCGGGCGGGCGCGGAGATTCCCCGGGACGCGCGGCCCTGGGCGCCCGCATTCCAGAAGCATGAGAGCGCCGGGCCCGCCGGGAAGGCCGGGGCCCCGTCCGAGCGCCAGGCTGGGAGGGCGGCGGCGGGGTGGCGGGCAGATGGCACTCTGGCGCCCACGAAGGCCGGCGGCGAGCGCCCCCCGGAGAGGGCGGCGGGTGCCTCGGCCCGCGGCTCTGGGGGTAGGGACACAGGGGCAGGGAGGAGGAATGTCGGCCCCCATGGGAGGGGCTGGGGCGTCGGTGAGTGGGGCACGAATCTCTTTTTCTCTTTCGTGTTAAAAAAAAAAAAAGCGCAAACTTGCATCACGACTTCCTGACCAATCTGGGAGAAGGCGGGCTTCCTGCCTGGAGCTGTTTAATCTGGAGCCTCTGGAGCAGAACTAACGTCGTTGTGCCCTGGGCTCGGCCCCCCTCTCTCTTCCCCTTCCCGTCCCCACCCCCGGCCGGACTAGGGCAGGCCCTTGCTCTGGAAAAAATAGTTCGGGTTCCTCCCTGCCTTCCCGGTGCCCTGGCTCCTCCGCTGGGCTCTAGAGCTGCGGGAGGGGCCGGGGGTGGCTCTGAATTGGGCTGGGGGAGAGGGTGACCCCAGAAGACTCTGGTCTTGGTGCCAGAGCTGAGGTCTCCACCGGGGCATCAGTGTCCCGGCTTGTGCTGTCATCTGCACCCCTTCCGGAAACCTCTATCTGTGGTTCTTGTTGCTCAAGGCCCCTCCCCTCTGCACCCCTCCTAGCCTCCCTGTGCCCAGGGCACAGTGCCGGAGCCTCCTTTCACCCTTCACAAGCCAGCCCTCCGTCCCCAGCTCCCTCCTCTGGGGCTGCCTCTACTGGATGTGAGCTGAAAAGTGGTCTGATTAATTCAGAGAAACAGGGAATGGTTTGCACTGTGCGTCTCTGTTGGGTGGAAATCCGTCAGACCGTGGTGGGTGTTGGTGGTTTTACTCTGAAAGCCTTTGCACAGCCTCTTAAATCTCTCCAGGTGGACTCTGCCGCTTCTGTCATAGGTGGGCGTGGGCTCCAGTGGGCCAGGAATGTGGGGGCCCGGAGCAGCCAGCACCAGCTCCCACACAAACTGTTTTGATTTGTAGCAGAGAAAGGTGGTGAAACTTGGGAAAAATTTCAGGACAGGAATCAATGAAAACCATTGAGGTCAGGGAGGAGGGTCTGAGTCAGCCTTGTGTGGACAGAACAGCCCAGGATGTGCTGGGAAGAGCGCAGGGTCAGCCGGCCTGTCTTTCTCCTCTCGCCTCTGGAAAACACACATTAACAGGCCAGCAGAAGAGACCCAGCTGGAGGTCGGGCTCAGAAGCCGGTAACCTTCTCACTGCAGGCTCGCCTCTGACGGCCCCACAGCACACCTGCAGCCTTCTTATCCTCTGAAGACATGAGGGGAATCAGGTTGGCTTGTGTGGGAGGGGCCTCCCTCCTGAAGGGCATGCCTCCCCCCATGGTGCAGTCTCCTTGTTCAGGGTCGGGAGACATTTCTCTGACGAGCTGGATAGTAAATATTTTCACATCATCAACTCTTCTGATATTTTTTCCAGCCATTAAAAAATGTAAACACCACTCCTAGCTTGTGGGCTGCAGCAAAACAAGTGGAGCCAGGCTCAGACCAGGAGCTGGAGTTTGTTGACCCGAGAATTAATCTGTGTTCTTCGGGCCCTTGGCTGCAACTCAAGTGGGTGATGAAGTTGGGGGGAGGGTAGGTCTCTAGTTCTCCAGATGCCGGGTGGAGCTACTCAGGGTTCCCACCTGGGCTGTATTGGTATCTCCTGGGAGCTTTTCACATCCTGATGACTAATTTTTTGTGTGCTTGGCTCAGTTTTTCTGTAAACCTGAAACTGTCCCCCAAAATAAAGTCTATTAATTAAAACCCGTATACCCAGGCCACACCCCACATGGATTCTGTGTCTGGGTGTGGAACTTGGACTTCCATGTTTTTTCTTGAGCTTCAGGGGAGGGTGATGTAGAGCTGGCCGAGAGCCCTGCCCAGTGACACCTGAGAGGGTGGAGGCCGGAGGCCGGCTCTCGGGGCTGGGTAGCTCCAGAGGAATCTTGCTGTGCTGCTGGCTGGAGGTGGGACAGTCGCCCTGCTGCCTTCTGAGCACCCCTTGCTCTGTGACGAGCTTCGGTAGAAATAGTTAATTCTGCAGTGATTTCAAAGTGAGTGGTGGGTGCTGGATGAGGCCATCTGAGGGTTTGGGTTATCCTAGGGCACCCCTCGCCTCCCAAAATCCCACTTCCACTTCCTCATTATGTCAGAGACTCCCCAGTCCCCCGTCCCAGGAAGGGTGACAGCCTTTATCATTTCACCTGTTGTCTGGGGGGCGTCAGGACCCAGAGCCGAAGGCTTCTATAGAGACTTCAGGACAGAACACTTTGTGATTTCTCCGTGAACAGCCCCGCCCCCAACTCTTGACCTAACGGGACAGGGGCAGCCTGAAGGAAGCACTGTAGCGGCGAGGCAGGTGGTGAGAAGGTGGTAACTGTATCACTGACTGGCAAACACGTGCAGGGTGGCAACATGGCTTCCTCCTGCGGGATGGGGCTCTGGCCTCTCCGGCACGCCCACCGCATGCCACGTCACCTGCCAGCCTGACTGTCGCTGCTGTGTCACTGTTTAGAATGGGGACACTTCCTCCTCTATGTAGGGTATTCACTATCACTGTCTCAACACCGCCCCGAGGCAGGCAGGAAGGCAGTGGGAAGACAGTCCTAGGATGGGGGCCCCTGTTAGGAACGCAGACCTGAGAGTCCACCTCAGCTCCCGGGCTGCCAGGCTCTTGGAGCCAGCAGTGAGCCCAGGCTGTCCTGTTCAGAGATCCCCCAGAGCTGGGGGTGGGTCTTGCTCTCCTCTGCCACCTTAGGGAGGAGACTCGGCCTTGGCAGCCCCTGCCCGCTCCCAGGACTGATTACGTTGCAGGACTCAGGTGTCTAGCTGATGGGCCCCGAGGAATCAGTGTGATCAGGGAGGGGCTGGGGTCAGCCCAGGAGCTGAGGACGGCCCGCAGTGGTCATCCTGCCGGCAGCCACCCCACCAGCATGCGCCAGTGGGAAGGTTCCTGCAGAGGAAGTGCTGATGGAGCGGCGGGAACGTCTTGGGTCCTGGCTGTGGGGCTGCTTCCTGGGCAGTGTCACTCCTCTAACACTCTCAGTGCTCAGAGATGGAGAGAGAGAGGGGCCCCCTGCTGTGTGTGCAGCCGCAGGGGACTGCCTTCTGTGACAGGGCCACCGCAAGGGTTGAGGGTATCCCCTGGGCCTGCCCCTTATCTTTAGGGCCCAGTGTGAGCTGCCTCTTACAGGAAGCCACTCTTGACCACCCTGGTCCAATGAAATATTGGTCTTTTCTGTGTTTTCTATTTTTAGAAATATATAGACTTTTTTTTTTTTTTTAAACAACTTAGTCTTTTATTTGCCCAAGGCCAGCTGTTGCAGGCACTGAGGCCCCAAGACTTCCAGGAGGGATGGGGGGTGGGGCGAGCCATCCTGCCCTCTGGTGCTGCCTGCCCCATCCTGCTTCCTGCAGGAGATGGGAGAACAGATAAAGTGTACACTTGTGCCACCAAGCATCTCCTCAATTTCGTGTGTGTGTCAGTAGCTCAATCATGTCTGACTCTGCAACTGCATGGACTGTAACCTGCCCAGCTCCTCTGTCCAAGGGATTCTCCAGGCAAGAGTGCTGGAGTGCGTTGCCATTTCCTTCTTCTAGACATTTTTTATGTAGACTCTCTTGTATGTGGACTTCTCTTTTCTGATTACCAAAGCAGTTTTCCTTCCTCCCTTGGGTACAGGCTCCAGGTGTTACAGAAGCAGGTGAGAAGGCTGCCTGGAGTGCCTCCAGGAGGTGGGTCAGTGCCTCTGTGTGAGCTCCTCCCACTGTTGACCTTTGAACCCCTCTAGTTGAGCCTGTTCTCTGGATGAGGATCTTAGGGCTTGGGGGATGAGAACACTGGCGGGTTTTCCTTCCCAGGACAAGTGAGTTGTGCAGCTATTGGCAGGTGTTACCTGTGGGAGAGCCCAGAGTGGGAAGCCTCAGGGAGGTTGGGGGCTGGCTTTGCGGGACGAGCTCATGGGCGGTGCCAGCCTCCGCCTTGCTTTGACTGGTCAGGCCCTCACCCCTCTTTCTGGGCCTCAGTTTCCTCACCTGTAAATGAGACAATAAAAGCTTGAAGGCCAGTGCCAGGTCTCTGATCTCTTGGCCTCTGGATGGGGCAGGGCGGGGCAGCCCTCCCTTGCACAGTGCTGGGGGTGCCAAGTGGGTCCGCGGCACACAGGGCTGCCCGCTGGCCACAGGTGGTTTCCAGGACAGGAGGTGTGTCCGGGGCCAGCCCAGCCACCCTGCCCACCTGCCTGCCCAGACTCCTGTGCTCATGTGGAACCTGTTCCCAAGTTCATTCAAGCATCGCCTTACCAGGTCTCCTGAGACGGAGCTCCGGGCAGCCTCCTAGGCTCTGGTTCAGGGCCCATGGCGGTGAGATGGGAGGGGCTGGGCCCACTCTGCTCTGTAACCCGGCCGAGGTTTCCTTGCGTGTAAAGGGAGGTGTGGATCCCCCCAGCTTCTGGCACCTTGGTTCTGTAAGTGCCTTTTCCGTGTTTGTTCACGCTGTGCTGAGTCCAGATGGGAAAGAAACATGCTGCCGTCAGTGACGCCATCCCTGGGGGTATCCCCTAGTAAATGCCATACAGATGGAGGTCCAGGCTAGGAGGGGCTGGGAGGGGGGTGGCTGGGCACCAGACAAGATCAGTCTGCCGGAGGGAGCGAGGTTGTCTGCCATGCTGGGCAGGGGTCAGAAAGGCAGATCCAAGGTGCCAGACCAGTGCACCCAGGGCCAGGCCGTCTGTGGAAGGAGGTCAGTGAGTGGCTTGCAAATGGGGGCTCAGGTCCCCTGGGTGGCCAGTCGGAGGGTTGAGGTGGGGTAGAGAGGGAGGGGCGGTGCCCAGTGGACAGTCAGGCAGGAGGGACTTGATCCCTGCCCAAGTTTTGATCTGTATTAACTGTTCATTACAGAAGTAAAGTATGAATAGTTGTCATAAAATAACCAAGAGTTAAATCTGATGAGAGTTAAGTTTCTTCTTCTTTTATCCTTTCTTCTCCCTCTCATCCAAAGCAAGGCCCTGGTCAGCAGTGAGGGCCTGAGGTTGCTGTGTCCCCACTCCTGAGGTTAGGTGGCTCCAGTGTTTGGAGCCACGGCAGTGCCCCGTGGCTGGGGTTCTGTGGGTGCCCAGGGTTGCCAGCCTCTGCCCTGGGGAGGACGCTGTGAGGCTGAGGCCCGGCACTCGGGCAGCCCTGGAAAGCCACCAGCATGCGATAGGCAGTGCTAGCCCAGACCAGCCACCCCAGGCACCTCAGGCCGACGTGCGTGGCCTCCCCCTTCCATGCGGTGTCTCGGGCCTTTGCTGAGTGGGGCGGGTCGATTTTTCTGGTGTGTTTTAATCACATAATTATAGGGAGTATTTTTAGTTCCCTGTAACGGCCGGCTGTTTACCAGGCTCTGACTTGCGCTGTTTGTCTCCCAGAGTATATATAGTTAGGCCTCCTCTCCTTCCCTGGGGTCAGGCTAAAGTGGGACCATGGCCACCTCAGCCGCCTCCTGTGGTTTCCTTTGCCAGTGAACAGGCGGCTGAACCAGGCCCCGTGGCTTCCGCAGAGCGGGAGGGGCCTGGGGGCTTCTGTCCTCGAGAGCAGGTAGGAGTCTGTCCCGAGTCCAGAACTGCTGACCATGCGGTGGGCTGTGAGGGATGCGCCTCTGGGCCCCATTCAGGTTCAGCTGTGAGCCTGGCGGTACCCAGGTGTACCAGCCGGCCTGTTCCCTGGCTCTCCCCACGTCCCCTGCCCTTCAGTGGCCTCTGGTGGATCCTCTGAGGGAAAACAAAAGAACAGAACTGCTATGTGCACAGATTCCTTGGGCCTGCATGAGCAGCCAAAGGCCTGTGATTGTGGCCAGGATTGCGGCCCAGTCTGAAGGGACCAATCGAGAGGATATGGCCTGGGCTCCCGGGCAGGGGCCTCGGAGCAGAAGCCTCACCAGCCTCAAGCCTGAGTCTCCATCTCTCTCACCCCCAGGAGCCACCAGGCCTGTGAGCTGTTGGCTGGGCCCTGTCACACCCCAGCCTCCCCTTGGGACCCAGGCTCCTGTTCTGCCTCCATCCCCCCCTCCCCAATCTCTCCCTTTCATTCACCCCATCCCTCTCCCTCATTCACCGCCCCCCCCCAATTCCATCCTCTCATTAACTTGATTCATATTTATGGTTAAAACACTGAAACAACACATCATTACAACAGCATTAACAGGTGCTTTTCAAAGGGAAGCAAGGTCTCCGATTCCACTCCCCCTCTCAGCTGCTTCATCCTCCCCTTCTGCCCCTCCCTGAAGATGGCCAGGGGTCGTAGTGACCAAGGGCATTCCTAGGAGCCCTCAGAGGCTGTGTGGTGTGTACCTGGCTTCCCTGCTGGGGGCGTGTCCCTGAGTTGCTTCTTGGGGGAATGAGTCACCTCATGGCAGAGACCCTGGCTGGCTCCCATGGGCCCAGGGGCAGCTGGGACAAGGTTTGCACAAGTTGCCTTTGTGATGTCGCAGGGCAGGTCCCCAGGCCCCTAATCCCCATGTGCCTGTGTGGGCAGCCGGCGCTGACCGTCTCCTCCGGTCATGTGGGCACACAGCTCTGCGTCATGTCTCTGCCTCAGTGTCCACTCACCCCCCACCCCAACCCTGCAGCCTCCATCCACGTCTGCTGGCATCACAGCCTCTACTTGGACAGCCTTGGGGGCCCTCGGCTCCCAACTCTGCTCCCAGATGCGTCCCATGGCCAGGTGACCTTCCTAGTCATTCGAGAGCTGCCTGCTGCCCACCATGCCCTCTCCGCTGCATTCACCTGGCTCAGGGCCCCCCAGGTTTCTAGTCTCCCCTCAGAATGAGTCTCCACTCACTTTCCTGCTCCTGAGGGTGGGCAGTCGTGGCCCTGTGTCACAGATGAACACCCAGAGCCAGAGTTCTGGCTGTGACACCCCTGCCTCCCAGGAGCCCCCTGCCCCGGCACCTGTCAACACATGGGTGACCCCCCGGTTCCTTCCTCTGGCTGCACCTCTTTCCCTGCAGAACTTCTCTCTGGCCCGCTAACTCCCCAAATCTGTCCTCACCCTGGAACCTGCCAGCTGTCCCCCTGCCACCACCTCCCATGGCCTCCCCTCTTGCCCCCCCCCGACACTTGGCCCAGATTTAGGAAGCCCTGGGGTCCCCACAGAGCCCCCAGGGGAGAATGGCACAGCCTACACATCAAGCTCTCCATGGGGACAGCTGGAGCTCAGGGTGAAGGGCAGACCTCACAGCTGAGGTTGGGTTGACAGTTGAGTGCAGCCACGTACCGCCTCCCCAAGGACTGGGAAAAAATTCCGCCTCTTGCACTGCACGTCCCCCCTGCCCTCATCTTGGTTTTGCCTACTCTGGGGGTCCATGCTTGAGGGACCCCTGGGGGCGTGTAGTGGTGTGTCTGCTGTCCCCTCAGTACTGAGTTTGTGTGATTGTCTGTGACCGTGTGGCGGTGGTCCCTTCTGGCTCTGGCTTGTCCCCTGAAAGCAGTGCCACATTTGCTTATCCTGTCACCCATCCTGCCTGGCAAGTAGGTGTAGGCTGCTAGCTGGCGCATCTCTACAGACCCACTCATGCGTTTCATTCACTCCTGGGCATTGGGTTGCCAGGTCACGGGCCTCAATTGTCCACTGCAAGTAGGCTCCGATCTGTCCTCCTGGTAGTCATCTGGGGATGTTCCAGGGTGCCCCACCCTTGCCACACGTGGTGCTGGCCTCTGATTCCAGCTGGTCTGTGGGTGTGAAGTGGCATCTCCTGAGACTTCAGTCTGCGTTACCTTGATGCCAGTGATGCTCATCACCTTGGTATCTTCTCTGGCGTGTGTCTCTAAGAATCTTTCACCCATTAAAAAAAATTGGATTGTTTATCTTTTTATTTCTGACTCGGGGGGTTCTTTGTGGACGTGAAACTGTAAGCTCTTTATCACCCTTTTGTACTGCATGTGGTTTTCCCTGCCTGTGGCTTACAATCCTAATTGTCATCTTTATGGTGTCCGGTTAAGAGCTAATCGTCTTTATGGTGTCCGGTTAAGGGCAAGTGTTTTTAGTTCAAAGTCCTGTGAACTTGGATGTTGCTGACTGGGACATCCTCTCCTGCTCCCCTGAGCTGGTGGCGGGGTCTCTGAGTGTTTCCTGGCGGGTGGGCCCCTCCGCTCACTGGGCCGGACCTTCCTGCTTCCCCTGCACCCTGCCCGTGCCCTTCCTGCACCCTCCGCTCGCCCTCCTGTCCCACCCCCTGCCCCCCCGCCGCCCACCTAGGGCTCTGCCGGCTCTCAGACCTCCTCCAGGGCCTCTGTCCTGCCACGGCAGGCTCTCGTCCTGGCATCACTGCTGCCGCTGGGACCCTCACTCTGCCTGTCATGACGCGTGACCTCCCACAGCCGCTGGTTGCATGAAGTGGGTCTATTTCAACTGCTGCAGGGATGGTCTTGGCCTCCTGACCTCCATTCCTGTGGTCCCCATAGACACGGTGACCAGCTCTTGTTCATTGGCTTTCCCTCCTGACAGTTCCCTGTCCCCCAGGATAAGCCCCCCCAGAATCGGACCCCCAAGTCCGAGGGCAAGACAGCCTCGCTGTTGGATGCACACTCTGGGGTGTGAGTCTTATGTGACCCTCTAGGGAGGTGGTTGGTCCTGGGGGCCCGTACATGTCCAGGGTGGCCGGCACCCTGCCTCCTGCCTGCTCCTGCCTCCTCTGGGCCCTACCCAGCTCGGCACACGCTCAGCCCGCCTCTCCGCCCTGTGAGGAGGCGCCCTCATGGTTCATCTCCACCCTTGCTGTTGGGGTGGTACCCATTTGTCCCTGGGCGCTTGTTTCCTTGTCACTGTTGCTGTGGCCTGGCCAGGGTGGGCCTGTGCCCAGCCCTGTGAGTGGGAAGTGGTTGAGGCAGAGGCCCCGTGGGCTCTGAGCCCTGCCTGCTCCAAGAGCATCCTGCTGCTTATCAGTGGTGCAGACCTTCCCTGCTGGGGAGAATTGGCCTGTCAGGCCCTAATCTCTGGAGGTCAGGGGGTGGGGGGCACAGGCAGGGGTGTGGGTGACCCAGAGACAGGGGCTTGAGGCCCTGTGGGGGCCCCTGAGTGGTCCAGAAAAGGGGCCCTGGGGTGGGCAGTGTCACCAGGTGACCCCAGCAAGGGCCTCTCTTGCCTCCGAAACCTTGTCCTGACGAACGGGCAGATAATGTGACCTCAGGAGGCAGAAGTAGCTCTGAAAGCAAAGTGCTGGGGCATCTTCTGGCCTGGAGGCAGCTCTGGGGTGGGGGGAGGGCCTGGGCCCCGGATCCTCGGTCCCAGTGTTCCCTGCTCCCTGGGGGCCGCACCCCGGCTCTGTGGGCCCATTAGCAGCTGCTCCATCAGACTGCGGTCCTTAGGAACTGGGGGCCTCAGGGCGGGGGTGGCTTCTGTCCCGGGGTTGCAGGTGGAGTCTCCAGCTGGGGGGTCCTCTGTCCAGGCTTTCACTGAATAAATGAAACCTGGGCCACCCAGGGAGGGAGAAGCCTCTGCTCCGCTCCCCGGGGGGCACGCCTCCCACCTCACCCCCACGCGGCCCCTTTACCCTCACCATCGCCTCCCTCACACCGTGAAGACTGGAAGGGTGACCGACCACACAGGGAGGGCAGTGCCCACGCCACCCTGTCCGCTCCCTTCCTCGTGAGAGTGAGGCATGAAAGGCTGGGGACAGGGGTTGCTGGGGAGGGGGGTGCCCATGCTGAACAGAGGAGCCCCCTCACCCTCAGGGGCCTGGAGGGCACCCGAGGCTGACGGAGAAGGAATGGCTGCCTCCAGAGGCAGCTCCTGGAAACTTCTGGGCTGGACAGGCTGTGTCACATTCCAGAGCCTGAAACACTTCTAGGTGTTTGGTGGGTGTGTGGAGGGGGGTCAGGGGGAGCCCACTCATGTCTTCAGGAGGTGAAGGGTGCCTGCGGGGGCTGGGTCATGGGCCGGGATGCTGGGACTTCGGAGATGAAGGGGCCCTGGGGATGGTGCTGCTGCGGAGGGGCGGGGTGGGAGCAGGTGCTCCCTCACAGGGGTGACCTGAGGACCAGGGCCGCCAGCGTCACCCCTCAGGCGAGGAGGCGGCAGGCACTGGAGCCACGGAGGGGGATGGAGTGGAGGCTGTTCTCTCTCTCTCTCCTGCCTGCAGGTGAGGGGCCTCATGGTGTGAGTGAGGCTGCCAGGAGTTAGGCATCCAGCACCCATCTGCTGGTTCCTTGTAACTTGAAGCCGCTTTCCTCTCTGCCCTGCGCTCTCTCTGGTGGCTCCTGCCACAGCCGGGCTACCACAGTCCACCGGGCTGTCCTTGTGGGAAAGGGCCTATCATCAGCCTCCTCACTTGCCACTCAGCACTGGGTTCTGGAGTCACGTTGCTTCTTCCTCGTTCTGACCACAGACCTGGAACGTCAGGTCTGGAGACACACGATGCTGGACCCAGAGGTAGCGGGCGGTCGTGCCAGTGCTCTGCTTGGAATCCAGCCTCCCACTGGGATGGTCCCAGGGCTTCGGGGGTGTTTATAAATGGGTGTTTGGATGTCATCACCCCTGTGTCACTCCTGCGCATTGGTGCCCTGCCCAGTCCTGTTCTGCGTGCGGAGTGTGGGGGCCTGCCAGGGCTGTCCTGGGACCTCAGGCGATCCCCCGCCTGGTTCTGAGCTCTGTCACAGGGGGCTGCCAGGCCGGGACTCAGGCCACAGTGTGCCTAGCACCTGCCAGGCAGGACTTCAGCATCCATGCTTTGAGGCCGCACATTCCTCCCTCTGCCTTCTGGGTGGCAGGTGCCTTCAGAGCAGAGGAGTGGGGTGGAAAGACTCCGGGGACAAGCTTCTGTCACCTCTCCGCTCCCAGTCTCAAGCTGGCCCAAGGCCTGGCTCTGCTGCTGGGCACCTTGGGGAAAGTTGACTCAGCCTCTCTGGGCCTTGCACTCCTTACCTTTAGAAACAGGACACACTGCTGTGGGGAAGGCCGTCCAGAGCGGAGCCAGGGTGCGGAGGCTGCTCTGCGCCAGGCTCCTGCATCTCTGCACCTACTTGTCGTAACCTCTAGCTGTGAGACTAGCACCTACCCTGCTTGGCCCCGCAGCCCTCGGGGTGACCTGCCAGGTGACGTGGGTGGAAATATTCAGTTGAGTCGCTGAGTGCGAGGCTGTCTGCCACCACGCCCACACCCCCAGGTGCCTCTCAGGAAGCCTGGCTGCCCAGCACTTTAATCAAGGTGCCCTGAGCCTCAGGACATGCGGTGGCCTCACCAGGGGGGAATCTGGGGCAGAGTTGCTGGTGACATCCTGGCTGAGGCGGGGGCGGTGGGGTGAGGACACCTCACTCAGGCGAATGCAGTGGAATGCAGTGGGTCTGAATAAGTCACAGCGGCCAGGCACTCCCCTGGAACAGCAGCTTGGATACCATGTGGCCGACCCTGGGCTGCTGGCGGAGGCTGGGAGGGAATGGAGGAT